CGACTTACTTGGGTCGATGGCTAAATTGGTTAACGTGGTTGTGAAATGGGGTGTTAAATTGCGACTTACTTGGGTCGATGGCTAAATTGGTTAACGTGGTTGTAGGAGGGGGTGTTAAATGAGTGAACACGTACACACGTATGCGAAAGGGCGGCGCTGGTCGAAGGGACGTCGATCATTGTGTTTGTGGATTCGTTGGAATTCATTTCACCGCGACCTTGGACGTCGACGCGCCGTACAAACCAACCGATGAGCGGCAACTGAGCGAGCGAGCGCCGACCTTGAGTATATATACAGCACGACGGCGCATGCACTGTCAGCTGTTGAATGTTCTCGAAGCGCGACGCCACATGCGCGTCCACTGGAGAATCAGGAGAATTGTAGATGTCGAACGCGGTGTGTAGAGGAGGAAGGGTGCACAGATGGTGGAGGAGTGAAGCGCGCGCGGTGTGTAGAGGAGGAAGGGATGCACAGATGGTGGAAGAGTGGGCGACGGCGCGACGGCGCATGCGCGCGCGTCAGCTGTCGAATGTTCGAGAAGCGGTGCGGACGGCGCGGACGGCGCACTACAAGGCGCGAGTATAAGATGCTCCGCATCTAAAAAAAAAACTGGCAGAATATCCACGGAGTGAATGATGGAGAGTGGGGCGAAGCATCCGTCGGTCGATCGGTTCTTGCTTCCGTCCGTCCATGCGTTCGCGCGTCCGCCTGTATGACCATCCGTGCGTCCATCCGTCCGTCCATGCGTGCGCCTGTTCGTGCGTCCGCACGTCCATCTGTGCGTCCAGCCCTGCGTTCGTCCTTGACACCACCCCTGCGTCGACCCATGCGTCCATCCGCCCCTGCGTCTGCCCATGCGTCCATCCGTCCGTGCAGCCATCCGCGCGTCCGTCCTTGCATTTGTCTGTGTGTTCGTTCATCCATCTATTACCAGCATCTCGCATTTTAGTAGCAGCATCTCACATCTTTTCATCAAATATACGGATGGATGGATGGATGGATGTGGCTGTACCCTTTAGATCGGGCGGCGGCTAACGCCACCTAGCCGTAATACTTAGTGAACTAACCATTACATTTATCTTTTTTCCCTTTAAATAATGAAGTTGAGGATTCGTACTTCGCAGTGAAGGGTTTAGTTTTCACTCCTGCCTTGACTTTAGCCACCAATCAGATAACCTCCTTCTAGTTAAGTATACCCGCTTAAAGTCTATTTTGCCCTCGCTGTCCCTAAATCCCAGTGCTTTGAAAACCTCTGCGCCATCATCCTGAACTATAGGGTTACAGAACATTATCAAGTGTTCGGCAGTTTCTTGTTCCTCTCCACACGCACTGCATACTGTGTCTACCCCTTCGTATTTGGCCCGATATGTTTTGTTGCGCAGTACTCCCGTCCTGGCCTCAAACAGTGGAGAACTACCCCGAGTATTATCATAGATCCTTTCCTTGGCAATCTCCTGCTTAAAAGTTCGATAGATCTCTAGTGCGGACTTCTTAATCATGCCCATTCTCCGCATGTCAGTCTCAGTTTCCTTCACTTTCTTCTTAACCAATAGTTCTTTTTGGATTTGGCCACCTGCTGTTTTCTAAGTATTTACCAGTCAACTTCCTGGTTCGCTTCCTCCATTTTGTATCGACATTCTTCATGTACAAGTAGCTGAAAACCTTCCTAGCCCAACGCTCTTCCCCCATTTCTCTCAATCGCTTCTCAAATTTTATCTTGCTCCTAGCTTCCCAGCCCTCAAACGATGTCCATTCCATATCACCTTGTACTCCCTGATTTGGTGTATTTCCGTGAGCTCCTAAAGCAAGCCTACCTATTCCACGTTGCTTAATTTCTAATCTTGCTTGAACTTCTGATCTCATGCACAAGATCGCACTGCCGAACGTCAGCCCAGAAACCATGACCCCTTTCCATATTCCTCTCACAACATCATACCTATTGAAATTCCTCAGTGCCCTATTTTTCATGACTGCTGCATTGCTGTTACATTTAGTCGTCACGTAGTATTTCGTGTTCCCTCAGATACTCGGTCCCATTGCTAATCCATACGCCCAGATATTTGTATTTATCTGTTATCTCTAGCGTGACCTCCTGTATTCTAAGCTCACTACCTTCGTTGTCAATGAAAATCATGACTGCTGATTTTTCCTTACTGAATCTAAAATCTAACCTATCTCCCTCATTACCGCAGATGTCCATCAATCTCTGCAAATCTTCCTTGTTGTTGACCATTAGCACTATATCATCTGCGTACATTAATGCTGGTAGCACCTGATCAATAAGTTTTCCTTGTTTGACTAAAGAGAGGTTGAAGCCCAGTCCACTTCCTTCTAATTTTGCCTCTAATCCTTGTAGGTACATCATGAATAATAAGGGTGACAGGGGGCAACCCCTGCCTAAGCCCCCATTTTACCTCTGAAGGCTTGGATACCTGTTTTTTCCACTTTATATCTACCTTGTTACCTTTATAGATACCCTTTAAAAGATTAGTGATTACATGTTCCACGCCTAGTGTGTCCAGTATGCCCCACAATTCCTCTTGAACCACGCTATCGTATGCTCTCTTGATATCCAAAAATGCTAGCCACAGGGGCCTGTGTTCCTTTTCTGCTATTTCGATGCACTGCGTCAGTGAGAACAGATTGTCTTCCAACCTCCTGTGTTTCCGAAACCCATTCTGCAGTTCCCCCAGCACTCCTCATCCTCTATCCATGACTGCAGTCTTTCCTTTATAATCTGCATCGCCAGCCTGTAGACCACTGATGTCACTGTTATAGGACGGTAGTTGTTTATGTCAGCTTTGTCCCCCTTTCCTTTATAGATCATGCTCATCCTGTTAAGTTTACATCCATCGGGAACTTCACCATCGATTATTATTGTGCTCACTGCCTCTCTCAAAGCCTGCTTAGACTTCGGACCTAATGTCTTTATCAGCCTAATTGGAATGCCATCTGGGCCTGTTGATGTACTACTAGGAACCCTTTTCTCAGCCCTTTGCCACTCTTGTTGTGAAAATGGAGCCATTGAATCACTTGATTCGTCCTTGTCTATTGAGGTGCCTAATGTACTTCTTTGTTGAAATTTTCTGTCACCCTTGTTCTTATATATTCAATAGCTTCGTCCCCTTCTAGCCTAGCACCTTGGGCTGTAGTTATAAAACTCTGCTCTAGGCTCGTCTCATTTCTTAGGGAGTTTAGATGATTCCGAAATTTCGCAGCTGCCTTTCTATCTTTTTTATGTACTTCTGCCAGCCACTGAGCTCTCTTCCTTCTAATCTTTTCATTGATCAGAAGGAATGCATCCCTTCTACAGCTTAGAAAGGTTGCCCATTTTCTTTCAACATCATCTGTCGGTTCACCCCGCTGCTTAGCATGTATGTGTTCCCTAGAGGCTTCCTGACGTTTTGCTATGGCTCTCTTAACTTCCTCATTCCACCAACTTTTGGGTTTGTGTCTTCTTTTCCGGGGTGACTTGCCACGCGTCTTAGCAAGCTCTTGCTCAAAGAGTCTAATTAGATTCGCGTATGTCCACACTGTCTTAATATCCTCCGTGATTACTTTCTCAATTTTTTTAGTGGCTATCTCAATTTGCCTTTCTGGATAAAAATTTTCCTGTAGTTGCTCATCTTGTCTCCTTGCCACTTTCACTGTTCTTCGAAAACTTAGCTTGATACGTTCGTGATCGCAACCCAGACTTCTGGAGCCACCTTCATCTATGTGCATTCCCCTGAGCTTATCATACATCCTATGTGACATCAGTGCATAATCTATCGTCGACTGAAGCCTTCCTACCTCCCATGTTATTTGCCCTTCACACTTCTCGGTACTGTTGCAAATGATCAAATCCAGCCTTTCCCACATATCCATGATCATTTTGCCTGTCGGGTCGGTATACCCATCTATATCTTCTATGTGCGCATTCATGTCTCCTAGTATAATTATCTCGCACTCTCTTCTTAACTCCTGAATATCCTTTGATGTACACTCTACCATTGCCTGGTTTTCCTCTCTGGCCTTTGTTCCTGTCCACAAGTACACGAAACCAAGGAGTGTCATTTGACCTGCCACTTTCCCTTTTTGCCATAAATGTTCCTTGCACTCCTGCTTGACCCTTTGCCAGTCTGTACTTTTATGAATGAATGCCCCAATACCACCCCCCTTTCTGCTGCCTTCTGTTCTATCACAATATTCCCACGCGTAGTCCGGATTTTTCGGAGGTTGTTTCATGTCCCTGAGATGTATTTCTACAAAACCGTATACCATCGGCCTCTCTTCCTTTAGCTGTTCTTCTATCTCTTCCCACTTCAGCCTGTTCCTATCACCCTGCATGTTAATATACCCTATGTCTGAATTGGCTCGGCGCTCGTGGCTACGTCTATTTATGCCCCGGACTCTACCTATCTTAGATATTGGTGCCACTTTGGAATCGTATCTGTCCATACAACCTGTCGAAGAGTCTCCCTGGTTGTTTTCCCCGTTACTAGCTATCCTGCACCCCGAAGGGCTCGCTTGCCCCCCCAAAAAGCTACTGCGCGTCCTGCAAGGCGCCAATATCTGCATGTGGAAGCACCGCCATTCAGCGGACATTTCAAGGACTAAATGAGAGGTCGCACATGCACACTTTCTTACGGCTTGCGCTTCGTGTCAACTTCCTATTTTTAACCTCCTTGAGTTCATGGTATATACTAGTTCACTATATTCATGGCACTGCGGCCCAACGTTCGCTAGACCTTTCTAAAATCAAGGAGGTTACGCCTAGCGAGTATAACGTAACAACCCTTCCATATCATATAAAGCTCAATGTACATGGCAATGGCAGCTAATGGGAAAAGAGAGACAGGAGAAGTCGGCTTTTATTGCTTACCGCTTGCGCTTCGTATCTACTTCCCACCTTTAACCCCCCCCCCCCCCCCCAGGGTTTATGGTATAAACTAGTTCACTGTATTGGCAGCCGCGGCAGCATCGAGGCAACACCTAAATCAGAACCTGCTTTTTCGCAGATATCAATCGGCTCTCCTGATACCGCTTTCACCGAGCTTCTGCTGCTGACGAAGGGGCGGCGCGGGCGACAAGCCCACGGGGGCCAGACACAGTTGCCTTCAAGCACCCTCTAAATCACTGGTGGCCAAGCAGAACAACTTACAGTGGAGCCAGCCGCAGCCGTCATACATCGCCTCGGTGGACAGACAACTTATAAGGCAGTCACACAGGGCACTGCGTCACATTGGCAGCTGCGGCAGCATCGAGGCAACACCTAAATTAGCACCTGCTTTTTCGCAGGTTTGTATCGCTGACTTTTTATTTTGCTTTTTTGCTTCCTTCTTGATGCTGCTGCAGCCAAAAAAGTGATGATGGCGTCAAATATGCCATGTTTCAACCGTCAGGTACGGCTCACGGAGTCGGACACTTTTGTTGTGTGTAGTGACTGTACTTCTATATTTCACAGCAGTAAATGTTCGGAAATTTCTGTTACAACGCTCAAAACAAAGGAGGAGGCGTATCGCCAAGCTTGGCGCTGTACGTCTTGTTGGACACAAAAAACTCGACTGCAATCAGCAAGTGAAAGTAATGAATCAGACCCGCAAGATATTCGCATAATGTTAAAAAAACGTAAGTTCTAAGCTTGACCAATGGTTGGCACCTAAGGAAATAGTAGAGGGCATGGAGGATTCCTTGCAATTTTGGTCGGAGAAGTAGGATGAACTGCGGAAAACTACCGAGAAACATGAACAGGAAATTAAAGAACTCAGACGCCGCACTGGAATACTTGAGAAAAGCGAAAGCGATGTTAATCAGCTCCAAGCTGAAATCTACGCCCTCGAATGGAAAAGCCACCGCCTTAACCTTGAATTTCATGGCATTAAACAGACAGAAAAAGAAAACTTGATTGACAAGGTAAACAAACTCGCCCCACAACTTGAGCTTCCACAGCTATCGGCAAACGACGTGGTCGTGGTTCACCACCTACCGTCTAAGAAAGATAAAATCCCCGGCATTATCTGTCACTTTACCAAGCAGGCTGATAGGAATTGGTGGGGGTTGAACTGAAAGAAATTACGTGACAGGAATTATGCGATCTTTATGAAAGATAATTTGACCAAACGAACACGTGAACTTCTGTTTGAAGCAAAAAACTGGGCCTAAAGGGCAATGTACAAGTATGTGTGGCGGAACAATGGCCGGGTACTTGTTCGCAAAGCGGACGGTGAACAGGTGGTGGTGATTTCCACTGCAGATAATATGGATAAACTAGGCTAAGAGCCCCGTGATTTTCTAACTCAATGGCAGACACCAACGTTGAGACATGTTTTGCCCCAAGTGCGTGAGCAATACATCGGGAAACCATTCCTTAAATCATTTAAATGCTTTCACCTAAATATTTGTTCTGTAATAAATAAGAAGCCCGATCTTTGTTCCTTGAGCAACTCAGTTTTTTATTTGATGCAATATTATTAACAGAAACTGGTTGTACGAATGATCTTGATGTTTTGCGCCTTCTATTCTACAATAGATTATATTTAAATCGTTCCTATTCGCGCGTTGGCGGTATATGCATCTTGATTAAGGAAGGAAAACATTTACTTGTGAATTACTATCTGAACTTTCTGTCACTACACATGAATGTGAAATGCTGGCAATTAAAGTGCAAAACATGGTATTAACTGTCTGCTAGCGTCCTCTCAGTGGTGCTAAAGCTCTATTTTTTAGTTGTCTTGAATCAATTGCAGAGTTAGTTAACAAAAATTATTTTGATGTTGTGTTTAGTGGTGACATATTATTATAATATGGTGAAGAATGACTCTCTCAAGGAAAAGCTTGATTTTTACTCTTGGTAAATGGCCTAGTTAGTGTAAATAATTTAAGCAGTAGAATAACTCAACATTCGTCATCTTTAATCAATATCGTTTTCACAAATATAAATTAGTCAAATGAGAAAGCAGGTGTTTTCGCGTATGATATAAGTGATCACCTACTCATTTTTTGTTGCAGCATACATATACGTAGTAAGAGGCCGAAACTAAAACATTTTGTCCAGAGAATTACAGAAGAAACTTTATCACGATTTCGTAGTCAAATGAAACATACTTTTTCGGAGGAAGTGTTGAGGTTTTGTGACGCAAATAAGGCGTACAAAATCTTCCGTCGTATTCTAAAACCTATATATGAAACTAGTTTTCCGGCCATTTGCTTGAAGCAAAGGTAGAAAATTCGAAAGCCCTGGATAAGCTCCGAGCTTCTTTCTAGAATCGAGGAGAAGAAATAAATTATACCACAGATTCATTCAAACTAAAGACAGTGAGCTGTTTCACCAATTCAATTTATGTCGTAATCGCTTGGATAAGGATATAAAGAAAGCTAAACGTAACTACTTTGTGAACTATTTCACCACCGCTGTTGAATGCTCTGAGCTTATGTGAGAAAAGCTAAACACTGTCTTAAAAGTAAACACCACTAAAGAATACGAAATTAGAGGTAAATGGTGAAGAGCTCTCCGGTACACTGCTTGCAAACGCTTTTAATAAGCATTTTGTTAGCGTTGCAAACAATCCCGTTGGGCAATACAATGTAAATAGCCTTCTTACATTACAAACACAACTTTTTTTGAACGCTGTAAATGAGCCTGAAGTAATTTATATAACTCATCACCTGAATACCAGTAAAGCAAATGACATAGATGGCTTCCAGATTAAGCCCACAAAGCATGTAATTGATCTACTAGCACCTCCTCTATCTTACATTATCAACCTGTGTCTGAACCAGGCTGTCTTTCTCTGCCGAATGCAAGCTGCTCGCGTGACGGTGTTATTTATAAAGGGTAAAAAAAAACGACATGGGTAACTATCGCCCAATATCTATTCTTCCAGTATTTTCAAAAGTACTTCAAAAATAATTTTTAATCGGTTTACTGATTACGAAGAAAAACATAACTTTACAACCCCGTTCCCATTTGGTTTCCGCAAAACTCTTAGCACTGAACTGGCGTTATTGGCTCAAAAAGACCTAATATTACCAGCACTTAATGAAAGTAAATTAGTCCTAGAAATTTCTGTTGACTCCACTAAAGCATTCTTTCTTATAAATCACACCCTTCTATAGGAGAAACTGTTACGCTATGGCTACCGCGGCAAGGCAGCAGAACTTATAAAATTGTATCTACAACATCGTATTCAGCAAGTCGACATAAAACAGGATCACTCTAGTCCCCTTGGCGTGTCTTCAGGTGTGCCACAAGGCAGTATCTTAGGCCCATTCCTTTTTATACTCTATAATAATAATATTATTGCCATAAACCTTCAGGCAAAATTTATAATTTACGCTGATGATACTAGCATCTTTTTATAGGAAATTGGGCTGATGAATTATTAGATGAAGCTAACTTAACCTTACAAAAGTTAGACGAATGGGCATCCCAAAACAGTTTCAAAATAAATACAAATGAAACAAAAGGTACGTTATTTTGCAGTAAAAATAAAAAAATTATAGTTATTAAAACTTTAACAGTAAACTCCTCACGTATCGCCCTCGTATCCAGTTTTAAAACATTAGGTGTTGTCTTTCAGGAAACATTATGCTGGGATGCACATGTCGATTGCCTAGTAACAAAGCTCTCTCAAGTGACTGGTATTGTTTACCACAATCGTAATATACTGTCACAGAACATTGTGATGCTAATTTTCAACAGTTTGTTTTTATTCAGACTGAGCTATTGTCATTCAGTTTCGGGCACCACTACACAAGGAAATCTACACAGAATACACGTCTTACAAAAAAAGTTCTTACACACAATTGAAAATGTCCCAAGACATTCCCACACGTTTGAGTATTTCTTAAAATATAGGATACTTTCAGCCACAACACTATATGATTACTGTTTGTGTAAGACGTATAAACAAGACTTAAAAACCAGATCTGATTTTCTCAAGCGCCTTTCCAGGTTACAAGAAAACACGCCTGTATATGCAACACTTAAAAGGGAGTACTGGAAATTACCGAAAGTGCGAACAATAATGGAAAACAAACACTCGGAAACAACTTACCAGGATTACTAAACATATTAATTTGCGTAGAGCTACAATTAGAGAACATGTCTTTTAAAGCCATACACAGTTATTTTGAACTCAAGACAAATAATTCTTAAAGGCATTCTTCTGATGCCTCTCATTTCTAAATCTCGCGTGCACGAATAATTAAGGTCACGTAGGAAGAACGTTATTGTAATGCGGCATTTTTTCTTCTTTTTATCTTCTTTTTCCTTTTCTTTTTCTTTGTCTCTGCAAATGATTGCAATTTTGTAAACTTAGACATTAGCGTTTTTTTGTATATATGTCTTGTAATATATAATGGTGATTTATGTTGGTTTCTTGTTGTTGCATCACTGCTGTTAGCGCCAATGAGGGGGCCCGCGGCCTCGTCAAGCTGTCCAAACGACAGCTTTTTTCACCCGCCCCGTCGTATCATTCATTGTATTGATGCGAAAAAAAGTCATTGTCATTGTATTCAAGGCACTGCAGCTCAACGCTCGCTAAACCTTTCTAAAACCAAGGAGGTTACGCCCAGAGAGTATAACGCAGCAACACTTTGTTGTCAGGTTGTGCTCAGTGTACATGCCAATGGCTGCTAATGGGGAATGATAGACAGGAGAATTTGGTTTTTAGTTAACATTTACGCTGCGGATCTTTTATTGTTCAAGAACGCACATGAGAAATCGCCCACTGGCACCACCTTGCTTGTCAAAACGTAAGACTGGTTACGTACTAGGACTACGACTACTACGAGGGACAAACGGGTGCCGCTTTAAGAAGCTTCGCCGCTAAAAGAAAAGGGTGAACAGGCGCTGCCACGAGGCCAAGCGTCAGTTCGTGCGAAGGCTCAATATTGATGATGGCTGCTCTTGTGCTGCGAGGGATAAATAAAGGGATGTCACAACAGTCTCCCGCGCCGAGAGATGACGCTAGGTGGCTTCCAAAGGATACAGTAGCTGCACGGGACGCTTAACAACAGTGCCACCAGGCAAGCGTAGAAAGCAAGTCCTCATAATGCCATCCCGTCCACCGATCAGTTCTTCTATGTGAACCAAGCACCGCAGTTGTCTTGGATGCTGTTTTTCTCCGAGTAGAACTGCGTTGCCTTTCTTCAATATGTGATTTCTTTCTGATTGGTTGAATCTGTAGTGTCTGAGCTCATTGAGGTGCTCATTTACCCACCGAGACAAGAAACTTTGCAAATCCTCTTTTCTCTTGCTCCAAAGCTTCTTTAGTTGATCGTTGCTCGACTCGGTG